ACATTCTTTTGTATCCGCTGTGTGATGAGACACCTAGCTAACAGGTGGGAATCCTCACTTTTTCCATTCACTACATCCGCTTCTAGTAATACAGAGTCATGCCAGAGCGTATGGAGTTTTAGAGAAGGCAGATTGTTAAAGCCCACTTAGCTGGTGCCTCTGTGACTGAAGTTGCCAATTTATTTGCTGTGTCACTAGGTACAGTATGAAGAGGTTATGATGGCATATACAGTTTCCTGGAAAGCGTCATCTGATAAGCATAAGCGTGGTTGATATGGCCAACTGACTGAAAGGGACAAAAGGACATTGTCCAGGATTGTGACCTGGAATAAAAAAAACAACTGCTGCAAAAGTGATTGCAGAGCTCAATCTCAGTCTTCCAAAGACCATGTCCACAAAAACTGTGCGGAGGGAACTCCATATGCAAAACATTCACCAATTGCCAAACCACTAGTGACAGATATTAATGCTCAGAAGAGAGGAGAAATGGTGCAACACCCATAAATCGTGGACCATCAACCAATGGAAGACACGAATATGTTCCAATGAATCAAGCTTCACACTGTTCATAATCACTGGGCGTGTTTAAGTGTGGCTAAGAGTCGCAGGCTTATGACCAGGACTGTCGTGTGCCAACGGTAAAACGCGGTGTCGGCACAATCATGGTTTGGGAAACCATATCTTGGTATTCTCCAAACCCCCTCATCACTTTGAAAGGTAGAGTCACTACGTACAAATTTTGGCCGACCATGTGAACCCCATGGTGCAGATATTGTTTCCCGAAAACAACGCCAATTACCAAGACTGTAATGCTCTGATTCACATAGCTGGTGTTAAATTATGGTTTGATATGATTTGTTCACTAATGTTCTCTAACAAACCACTGAGGGCTTGAAAGAATAGCTGCATTTATACTGAGATTAAATTACACACAGGTGGACTCTATTAACTAATTAGGTGACTTCTGAAAGCAATTGGTTCAACTAGATTTTAGTTAGGGGTAGCAGAGTAAAGAGAGCTGAATACAAATGCATGCCACACTTTTTCAGATATTTATTTGTAAAGAATTTTGAAAGCAGTTTATCATTTTCTTTCCATTTTACAATTATGTGCCACTTTTGTGTTGGTCTATCACATAAATTCCCAAGAAAAATACATTTGTTTTTGGTTGTAATATGACAAAATGTTGAAAATTTCAAGGGGTATGAATACTTTTTTTTTTTTTTTACAAAGAATTTTATTATAGAATAGGAAACAGCAGAGAATCAGTCAAAAACATATGCAATAACCAGCAGGAATATAACATACAAAGGATTCAATGAATAATACAGAATATGTACTGATGAGAAAGCATAAAAATAAACTGCGTACATAAGTGCCGTATAGGAAGAAACCACAAATTTCAGAAATGATAGACATTTAGAGACCAATAACATAATGAACTCTAAGGAAAGATTATTACTGTATCTGCATACAGAATGCGAGAAGAATAGAAGAAGGAACATCTCAGAATACAGACAGGTACTTAACACGCAGGGCTCTCTAAGGAGTCCAGCACATGGATGCAGTGTTGTTGGTACGGGGCTCAAAGCAGGAATCACAATCAGCACAAATAGCCTGAAGAAGACAGACTAGACAAGAGGAAAGAAAAGAGCAAGGAGAAAGAAAACAAACAAAAAAAAAAAGGGGGGGGGGGGCTCCAGGGGGACCGCAGCAGAGAAAAAAGAAATAGAGAAAAAAAAAAAATAAACTGGTATATAAGGTTTATATCGACAAGAGGGACTGGTCGAATCTTGACGGTTGAGCTATATCAAGCCAAGGATGCCATGTCTGTAAAAATTTTGAATGGGTGTCTAACAGTATAGCTGTCAACTTTTCGTTGACCATGATAAAGTTCATCCGGTTTTTGACAGCCTCGAAGCTGAGGAGGGGAGTCTTCCAAGCCCACGCAATCGTCAGCTTAGTGGCCATGAATAAGTGCGATGCCAGCTGCCGTTCGGGGTGAAGTAGACCCACTAATGGTTTAAATAGCACTTCGTACGGGTTGCGCTTAATGTCTGTGTGAAACATAATGCGGAGAAGGGCGTAAACTCTGATCCATAATCTGCACACCTTGGGGCAAGTCCACCAAATATGGACCATGGTACCCGTTTGTTGACAACCCCGAAAGCAAGTCGGGGAATATGTGGGAATAAGACGAGCAGGCGTGTAATACCATCTATAAAGAAACTTATAGGCGTTTTCTAGAATAACATTCCTAGAACATTTGGATAATCGTTGGGTCATGATCTGCCCATCCTGCTGATCTAGAGTGCCCCCGAGTTCCGACTGCCAATGCTGATAAGAACGAACTGGAGGACTTCTATGAGAAATAATGGAAGAGTAGACTAGAGAAATTAAGCCCGGAGCATGGGGTCTATGTCTGCATTGACTTTCAAAGGGGGTCAACCTGTAGGGTCCCCAATGTGTCTGTATTAATGTACTGATAAAGTGGCGGAGTTGAAGGTATCCAAAATGTTCCCGCAATGGGATATTGTAAGAAGAGCGCAGAGTCTCAAAAGCGAGTATCCGAGTGGGAGAGAGCATGGAATGTATATCATGGAAGCCATTTGCTTGCCACCAAGCAAACTGTCAAGGATTGTCATAACCTGGGGGAAATACTGGGTTGTGTAGCAACCGTAATAACGGTAAATGGGCAGAAATGAGGCCAGCTGAATATTTAATAGAGTCCCAAAGACGGAGCGTTCGCGTCAGCGTCGGACTAAGGGATGAGGGTCGATGAGTAGAAGGAAGCCATGGTAGAGAAGAGAGTGGAATCGGGTGGGAGTCCATCAAGTCTACAGTAGCCCACAAGGAAAAATGGTGAGATGCATGGAGATGGGCTAGGGGGGCAATATTGGCTGCCAGATAGCAAGACTGAAGGTTTGGGACAGATAACCCACCCTCGGTCCTACGAGCAAATAATATTTGTTTGCTGATTCTGGGTCGAGAGGAACTCCAAATGAAAGACAGGAGTTTTCACTGATGAATACGCAATATATGTGAGGGAACAGGGACTGGTAAAACTCAAAACACGTACAATAATTTGGGAAGATAAGTCATGCGGACCGCATTGATTCTACCGAACCACGAAAGCGGATAGTGAGACCAGGACGACAACAACTCCGTCAAGTCATTAAAAACAGTGGGGAAATTAGCCCGGTAAAGTCCTTCGTAAGTCGGAGTAAGCGTGATTCCTAAATACGGCAAGGCAGAAAGCCATTGAAAAGGGAACAAATGTTTCAAAGTCAAAGTGTTTTAAAGTGATGGTGAGAGGGTAATTGACATAGTTTTGGACTTGGCAGGGTTAACATGGAGGCCTGAGAGAACTGCAAAGGAATCCAATACCGCAAGTAAGTTTGGCAAAGGGGTATGAATACTTTTTCATGGCACTGTTTGGGCCACATTACCCATTTTTATATGTAGCAGATGGGATAATAAAGACAAGACTGGTCCCTTATGTCCTTCTGTTGGTTGCTCTTTTGAACTGGTTATCTCTTGAATGATTCAGTGCCTAAACCTTCAGAAAGCTTAGGAAACTCTCCCTACGACAAGTCTGCACACCTGCCTTCTACGCTGAACAGCACTGAGTGTGCCATTCCTGACCGCTTTGTCTTATCTATATGCAATATGTTGGCATTGGGATCCCTTTAATAGATAGTTCCCACATTAGAGTGTGGAGGTTCAGCACCTGAGTGCTCTTCTCTTCCCCCTTGGAAGAAAGTATCCATCCCTAAAGGGTAATGGGTGGTCAGTACACTGTCTGGAATGCTGCTACTTAGTTACCCCTAAGATGGATATAATAAAAGGCCAGAGGCCTTATGGGACTTAGTCAATGGGAGATTTCACTGAAGTCCCTTCTGTGGCTGACCTGTGGTCTACTAGAACCTGATTTATTCAGGTTCCTTCTACTTCTGAAAAAGCGCAGCATTCTCCAAAGAGAGAGCAAGAATTCTAGTGCTATTACTAGGATATTTCTCCTGATAGGAGAGTTGAATTTTTCATCGATAATATAGTTGGTAAGTGAAACTCTATAAAGTACAGCACTACGTAACTAGTACCTCATGTATTTATATAGTGTTTGTTTTTTTATGTGGGAAGCCCATAAAAGTGCTGGCAAGCTGCCAAGTTAAAAGAACTTCTAGAGCGGATCTGGAGTCTTGCGCATTTATTTTGATATAAATGGTCAGCATTTAGGCAGGTTGCAGTGTAGCTATCACACCCCAGGTACACATCTGGGTATTGCTTGGATGGATCCTAACATTTTAATTTGGTATCGATCATCCTACCCTCTTTCAGGAGGATTCAGGGTTAGTAACTTTAAATTTAGATTTTATTCTGATGCTTGAGTATGTTGTTGACTGGTCTTTAAGTCTGTCCTGACTTCCTTTCCTTGAAGTCAAAGGTGAGGTATGCTAGACTTATGAACCTCCAATACTCGTAAAAATTCCTGTCCCCCTTAATGGATAATGCTTTTTTTTTTTTTTTTTTTTTTTTTGAGTCCATTGAGAGAGCGCAGGACCTGTGTTCGTTTGTGGCGCTTGTGTCTAAAACTTGGGCATTATGCTTACAGATAAGGTTATAAAGGGACTGGCTTCAACATTTTCATTTACCAGTGTCCCGACCTCCTGCAGCCAGCAGTATAACATGCTTATGAATTCCTAAATTCCTGTGTCCCTCAATTAACTTAAAAAGGTGTTACATGAAGTACAAAAATCCTATGCTAGTTTCAGTTTTATTGTTTTTCAGTCTGACAATAGCTATAGTTTTTTTTTTTGTTTTGTTTTGTTGTTTTGTTTTTTGTTTTTTTAAAGGCATAGACTTCTGACCTTTTAAAATGTTTCTACCTTGATACATAGCATAAAAATCGTACCACAAGCTTGTTTTTTGTTTTTTTTTTACCTGTTCTTTTATTTATGTGATAATGCATTTCTTCTTCTTTTTTTTTTTTTTGTTAATAGTGATCCAAGGAAAATTATATTGCATCGAGGGGCCACTGGATTGGGCTTCAACATAGTTGGAGGTGAAGATGGTGAAGGAATCTTTATTTCATTCATTCTTGCAGGGGGGCCTGCAGATTTAAGTGGAGAGCTCAGAAAAGGAGATCGTATCATTTCTGTATGTTTTCTATGTATATATACATTTCTTCATACATATGGCAGCATGATAGTTCTACTGTTAATTTTTTGAACGATGTAGGAAAACCATGCGTGCATTGAAAAGCATCACCATGAAGTAACAATACTAAGCATTTTCAAGTTAATTAAGTTGGCTAATATTTGGTTTATAAGCAATGTAATTACTGTTTGATGTAACTATGCATGCCACCCAACATTCCATGATTTAACAGAAAATATTCCTACTACAAAATTTGAAAAAAAAAAGTTTTGCCTTTTTTGTTTGAATGGTTCTAGCTAAGGAGATCTATATCTATCTATCTATATATATCTATATATATATATCTATATATATATATATATATATATATATATATATAACTATATATATATATATATCTATCTTGTTTGTACATTTACTTGTTACTGTTTGTACATTTACAATGACCAATGATTTTTTTACATCCAAATACTTCTCTCTTCCGCAACACTCATGTACGTTTTTATAAAACTGAGTTCTGTTTAGATGGCTTCTTTAATGCCTATGCACGCTTGGTTGGGTATACAGAAAAAAATTTTACGCATTGATTTTTTTTTTTTTTTTTAAAGCTAGAAACATAGTGGTGAAAGGGACTTCAGAATGCATTAAATCTTGCCCAAGGGCAGGGGATAGCAAGCATGTCATTCACAAATAGAATGTAGATCAATGTGAAGGGGTAGCTAATGTAAAGAAAGGCATACTACTTTGCTGAATTTCATATATTTTGATGTGTTAGAGGGCTATTTAAACATAAATTGAGATGTTTCAGATGAAAGAAAATGTAATTGAACTGTTGCTAGAATGTATTTTTCAAACAATTACAACTAAATATGTGTGAAATTTTGATGCAATGAAGAGTGATCTTTCCAATTGAATAACTGACAAACTGTCATGTAATCCTCTTATGTGTGTGTGTGTGTGTGTGTGTGTGTGTGTGTGTATGTGTATGTGTGTACATATATGTGTGTGTATATATATATATATATATATATATATATATATATATATATATATATATATATATATATATATATTTTAGTAAAGGAAATAAGTATTTGATCCCCTGCTGATTTTGAATGTTTGCCCACTCACAAAGAAATGATCAGTCTAAAAATTGAATGGTAGGTGTATTGTAACACTGAGAAACAGAATAGCAAAAAAAAAATTCAAAAGAAATGTATGTCAAACAAATTATGCACTGATTTGCATGTTCATGAGGGAAATAAGTATTTGATCCCGATTACAAAACATGACTTAGTATTTGGTGGCAAATCCCTTGTTGGCAATCACGGAGGTCAGACGTTTCCTGTAGTTGGCCACCAGGTTTGCACACATCTCAGGGGGGATTTTGGCCCACGCCTCTTGGCAGATCCTCTCCAATTAATTAAGGTTTGGTGGCTGATGTTTGGCAACTCGAACTTTTAGCTCCCTCCACAGATTTTCAATTGGATTAAGGTCTGGAGACTGGCTAGGCCACTCCAGGACCTTAATGTACTTCTTCTTAAGGCACTTCATTGTTGCTTTGGCCGTGTGTTTTGGGTCTGTCATTCTGGAACACCCATCCACGACCCATTTTCAATGCCCTGGCTGAGGGAAGAAGGTTCTGACCTAAGATTTGACGGTACATTGCCCCGTCCATAGTCCCTTTTGTTGTGGTGCAGTTGTCCTGTCCCCTTAGCAGAAAAACACTCCCAAAGCAGAAAGTTTCCACCACCATGTTTGACAGTTGGGATGGTGTTTTTGGGGTCATAGGCAGCATTCCTCCTCCTCCAAACACGGCGAGTTGAGTTGATGCCAAAGAGCTCAATTTTGGTCTCATCTGACCCCAACACTTTCAACCAGTCATCCTCTGCACCATTCAGATGTTCAGTGGCAAACTTCAGAAGGGCCTGGACATGTGCCTTCTTGAGCAGAGGGACCTTGCGGGCACTGCAGGATTTTTCAATCCTTGTCGGAGTACTGTGTTACTAATTTTTTTTTTGGTATGGTGACTGTGGTCCCAGCTGCCTGGAGATCATTGATAAGCTCCTCACGTGTAGTTCTTGGATGATTCCTCACTGTTCTCATGGTCATTGACTCGACGTGAGATCTTGCATGGTGCACCAGACCTAGGGAGACTGACAGTTGTTTTGTGTTTCTTCCATTTGCAAATGATTGCACTAACTGTTGTCACCTTCTCACCAAGCTGCTTGGCGATAGTTTGGTAACCCAGTACAGCCTTGTGTAGGTCTACAATCTTGTCCCTGACATCCTTGGACAGCTCTTGGTCTTTGCCATGGTGGAGAGTTTGGAATCTGATTGTTTGATTACTCCTGTGGACAGGTGTCTTTTATACAGGTAACAAAATGAGATTAGCAGCATTCCCTTTAGGAGAATGATTCTAATCTCAGCTTGTTACCTGTATGAAAGATGCCTCGTAGCCAGAAATCCTGCTGAATGATATGGGATCAAATACTTATTTCAGTCATGAACAAGCAAATCTGTGCATGATTTGTTAGACATGCATTTCTTTTGAATTTTTTTTTGCTATTCTGTCTGTGTTACAATACACCTACCATCAGCAGGGGAGCAAATACTTATTTCCTTCACTATATGTATGTATGTGTGTGTGTATATATATATATATATATATATATATATATATATATATATATATATATATATATATATATATACTATATATAAAAATATACAGACGCACGTGTGTGTATACGTGTGTGCGCGCACGTGTGTATATGTATACGTGTGTATGTGTGTATATTATATACGTGTATGTGTATATATATATATATATATATATATATATATATAAAAACACAGACGCACACACCGATCAGCATAAATGAGTACACCCCAATAGATTTGTCAAGAAATCTCTACTTTCCTTTCAGAATCAACATTTTCTATGGAAGACTATACTACAATATACTCCCACAAATGCAAGCCATTGATTACAAACAAGATTTGTTCATTTGCACACACAAAGTATTTTTCCTAAAAAAATTCACTCAAGACCATGTTGCGGAAATGAATACACCCCAATGAAAGTCTTAGAAGCAAGGCTCAATTTTAGACAATCAGAATCCTAATTAACAAGAATTAAATTACAGGTGAGTCTAATTATTTATTAAACAGGTGTCCAGCAGACAGTTGATTATAAAAGGGCGTTGCTTAACAAAGAAAACCCCTTCCTATTTCATGCTGTCAGCAGTGGCACCACATGGAAGAGAAATGTCGCAAGGCCTGAGAAAGAGAAAATAATTTCTTTTTACACAAGAAAGGTGAAGGCTACAAGAAGATCAGCAAAGCTTTACATATTCAGAATACTGTTGCAAAAGTGATACAAAAATGTAACAAAAATGGAACTGCAACCATCTCAAAGAGACTTCCAGGCCATCCACTGAGGTTAACACCTTCTGATGAGAAGGGTTGAAGAAAATCGCCATGCAAGTTCACTGCAGTTAGCTAAAGAAGTAGAAAGCCAAACTGGAGTGATTGTTTCCCATGACACAATATGTCATACACTGCAGAAGAATGGCATGCATGTGTGTTGTCCACAAAGGAAGCCTCTCCTAAAGCGCATGCACAAAAGGCCCTCCTAGAATTTGCCAGGGCCCATGCTGACAAAGAAGACGACTACTGGGACTCTACTCTGGAGTGATGAGACCAAGAAAAATGTTTTTGCAACTGATGGCTTCAAAACTGTATGGCGTCGCAAAGGTGAGTACACAGAAAAATACATGATGACTACAGTGTAACGTGGTGGTGGCAGTGTCCTTCTTTGGGGCTGCATGAGTGCTCCTGGTGTCGGTGAGCTGCATTTCATTTATGGTATCATGAATTCAAAGATGTACCACTCTATATTAAAAGAGAAAATGCTACCATCACTCTGTGCCCTTGATGGTCATGCACTTTTCCAACATGACAATGATCCAAAACATACATCTAAGGCTACTGTTGCATTTCTGAAGAACGGAGTGAAAGTGATTCAGTGGCCAATTATGTCTCTTGATCTGAACCCAATCTGACACCTATAGGGAATTCTGAAGAGGCAAGTTGAGCATCATTCATCCAGGCTCTAAAAGAGGTTGTTCTTGAAGAATGGAAAAAGATGTTGCAATATGTCACCAACTTGTTAATTCCATGCCTACAAGACTTGGTGATGTTCTTACAAATCATAGAGATCATACAAAATCCTAGATGTAGTAGTTTTTGTTGTGGGGTGTATTCATTTTTTGCATCAACCAATTTGAGTAAAACTGAAGATTTTGTAATCCAAGTTATATTATTAACCTTACTTTCATGTAATGAGCTAAACAAATGTTCTATAAAACTCAGTTTTTTCAAAATTTTGGAAAAATTTCTAGTGTTCATTGAGATGTTGATTAAAATCTTACTTTTCAAAAGGGGTGTACTCCTTTATGCTGAGCTCTCTCCAGAATCGTGCTTTTGAGCAGAAAAAAATTATTTATTCTTAAACACGACGTTTAGGAGCATTCAGCTTTTCAAGTGCACATAGAAAAATGAGGAGAGGTGAATGTTTTAGGGGAAAAAAAGCATATAAAAGCAAACTCTTGAGCAAGCTCTCTTTTATAAGCTCTCAAACTCGAGTGCAATATGAAACACTATGAGCATTTTTTTTATCTGCCAGAGAGTCTGGCATTTTTTCCTTCTCCTGGTACCCTTAATAACAATCCTATTTTTATTCCACATAATATTTGAAAAGATAAAACAAGTGAAAGCAACATGGATAAAAAATTATGGGACCCTTGTTCTGTTGTACAACTTAATACAACTTTTGGATTCAGTGCAAACAAGTAATTTCTGTAGCTCTCAATGAGACTAATGCACCTTTTCATGTAGTTAGGCCCACTTTTGCAAAAACTGCTCCTTCTGTCTCTGGTTTTAAAGGGTGCCTTCTGCATAGATGATTCAATTCAGTACTCACAGAACAGTCTTGAGTTTTGTTCATGGCCATTCTTGTGTTCTTTTACCTGTGTGTTTTTTGGTCATTATCCATTTGAAGTACCCATGATCTGCAACTGAGAGAGTTTTCTGACATGGGCAGTACATTTTGCTCCATAATTCCTTGGTGTTCTTGAGATTGTATTTTGCCCTGCACATATTTCATTGCGACCCATGGCAGGCACAGTGAAACAACCCCAAAACACCTCTTCCATGTTTCACAGTAGGTACAGTGTTCTGGGTTTTTTTGGGGTTTTTTTTTTTTTTTTTTAGAGCTTCATTTTTACATTGGTGAATATAAAACTGATGTTGCGTGTCAAAAAGCTCCAGTTTTGTCTCTGTAGTCCAAAGAGTTTTGTACCAGAAGCACTGTGGCTTTCAAAATGCATTTTGGCTAATTTCATTCTGTCAGGCAGTGGTTTCCTTCTGGATCCCAATCTTACTGAAAAAAGACGCAATAAGTGCAATAAGACATTGATTTACCTTGACTTTGGAATTCAGCTTGTATCCCTTTAGAAGTTTTGCTTGGCTCTTTACCATTCACACTATCCTTCTGTTCATCTGGGGTTGATTTTTCTCTTGGGGCCACATCCACGGAAGTTGGCAACACTTTGAGCCTTAAGCTTCTTAATATTTGCAACTTAAGTCACAGGAACATCAAGCTGCTTGGAAATGATCTTATAGCCTTTACATTGTCATGCTGGTCTATAATGGTCTTTCTGATCTCCTCAGACAACTGTCTTTTGCTTTTTCTGGTCCTTGTTTATTGTGGTGCACACAATAATACCAAACAGCAGAGCGACCACTTTTCTTCATTTAAGTAGGCTGGCTGACCAAACAACAAAAATGCTTAATACTAATTACGTAAACTTAGTTTGAATAATTATGATTCAAGTGCTTATAATCATTTCTAGGGGTACCAACAAATCTGTTCAGACCATTTTAGAATATCTTTCTAGAATAAGTAATTTCTCTCTTTACACTTTCTTTGCTTTACTCTAGGATGGCATACGTGAGATAGTTCCTTTTAATTTCATTACAAGCTGTACAACTATTTTTTTAAAATTGTATACATCTGAAAATGAAACATTTCTAGAAATGTTTGTGGCTAAGCAGTACCCCCCCCTTATACACTTAAATTTTTGGCTCGTGGTTTTCCTTTTACATATAGCACTGCACCCAGGCACTCTTGTATCTACAGCGTCATAGCTGTATATCTGCAGGGCATCTAAGGCATTGCTTCCTCTGACTGCTAGTCTCAAGATTGAGTGAGATTTGGTGATGTTGCTATTGTGCTGCTCACAGTTCTCCTTGCTGAAGGACCTGGCATAAGGCAAAAACGCCATGTCTCTACCAAGATGGTTGCCTCAGCATAGAGAAAAAGTACAAAATATGGCATGGTATATCGGTAATGAAGAATAGATCCACTTTTATCAGCACAACTTTTAAAGTTCAATTCCTTTTTAAATAGATATATTAACTGTACTTTCACAATATACAGTGAGCATGGATGTGCGCAACTGTACAATATTTGACAACTGCTGTGATCGTATTTGTGCACTTTAAACACACAGGTGGCCTTTGCATTTTCATATATATATATATTATTTTTTTTCTTTTAGGTAAATGGTGTTTGATCTCAAAACAGCCACTCACGAACAAGCAGCAGCAGCTTTAAAAAATGCTGGCCAAACTGTTACTATTATTGCACAATACCGTCCTGAAGGTATGCAAGCTTATATTTTTTTTTCCCCCCCTTCTTCCTTGCATGTTTTATTTGTAATTGATTGTATGTTTATAGATGGAAAATGCATAGGTTATATGTTTGTGGTATATTTGATCATTTAATTAGACCAGTACAGGTTTTCTAAAGTTTCATTAAAAAAGCTCAAAACCCTGTAAGGGGTTGCACAGGGTCTGCCTAAGACTGTTCTGAGTAACTAAAGCTGTATTTTCTCCTCTCTGGCAGCCCAGATGTTGCATACAGCCTGTCATTAACATGATTAGCTGTGTGCCACTGTACTAATATGTGGACCTTAGCATGAGGCACAGTTCTCCAGTTTATGCTGATGATCATGTATTTTTTTATCATCATCCATCGAGGAACATGAGAATTCTGAAATAGTTGGGTTATACAATATACAATCAATATAAATACAAGAGGTATTCTTTTATGAACGTTGGTGTACTTTTCTTCAAGATTTGTGCTGTAATTCAGTGTAAATCTTTGCCTTTAATTTCTCAACTTTGCTGATTATAAAAAAACGAGTCCATCTCTCTCCTTGTGCAGGGTGACTGGTCTTGTATCTTCCCACTTCTGTAGTTTTCTACAGGCAGCCTGTTGTAGGTGGGCCTGCTAGATCTCACAGCTCTGCTCTCTTCACAGGCTATGTTTGGCACAGTGATGATGTCACTGTTATTTTTACAAGGTAATATATCTGTTTGCAAAGATATTTTGGTGCATACAAAAGTAAATTTTTATCCTTTGTTTGCATATGAGGAATATATTTACAGTTCAGAGGCAGTGTCTGGAATGCTGGTTATAGTTTCACGTTTTTTAAATTTTTTATTTTACAGTGTAAAAAGCATACATTAAGTTGTAATAATACAAATTATTAGCCATGATCCGTTATTGAGAAGGATTGCAAATGGCAGCAGTTTAAATGTACCAATGACTGTTTGGATTTGCAAACAAAGCTCATCTTAGCTCCATTTTATATGAAAAGTAAACCAGTACTCCCCAGGCCGTGGCCACCACAGAGTTTGTGTATACCTGTGATGAGGTCTTTGGGAACAGAAGAACCAGAAACTTGAACCTGTAAACCACCTTGTGGCTAGGTTCATGCATTGCACTATGCATCACTGGATGCACCTACAAGCAGGATCCAGTGCATTGCAGCAACATTACAAGCTAGCCCTATTTTTTAAATCCAGAGAGGTTTTGGTATGGTCTTCCAAGGCACAGCCTTGAGAGACCAGCAGGATTACATTTGTTAGGCATGGGATGGTGGGGGAAACAAGTAGGGAAGGGGGTGGGATTCCGACAAATTGTTATAGATGAGATTGTGTCAAGAGGGGAGAGAACAGCATTGCCATATGTTGGGGCAGCTTGGCTTGAAGCAAGGAGGGAAAGGAGAAGGAAGGGGAGGGGCGAGCGTGATAGGGGTGATAAAAACTAGTAACACTTTTTTAAATGGGACTCTGCATCTTTATGCCATAATAAGCTGATATGCACCACATAGTAGCACATTATGACAGGCTTGCTTTTCAAACGGAACCCTTCAGTACTGAGCTGTCACCACTCCCATTGCTTCCATTTTTGCCTGATCTTCCTTCCGGGTTCGCATTCTCTGACCGTTGCAATGGCTGGCCCAAAATGACGTCACTCCTGCACATATGCATCACAGTCACTATTGCGGCACTGCAGTCCACATTCACGCTGCACGTAGGGTTCATTTACATTTGCTTTAACTTCAACACACATTAAACATGCTTTTGTGACGCTTCATTGATTCTTTAACTAGTTGCCTACCGCAGATAGCTGAATGACGGCTGCACTGCGGCTGGCCAGTTCTGGGAGGGCATCATTACGTCCTCCCAGAACGCGCTCTCCTGCGCTCCCTCGGCGATCTCCGTGATTGCTGTGTCCTACGGACACAGCTGATCACGTGATGTGGTAAAAGGCCAATCACAGCGGCCTTTTACCATGTGATCAGCCGTGTCCCGATGACACGCTGATCACTGGGAAATGCAATTGCCGGTTTTCGGCTGCACTTTCCTCACGCTGTCAGAGCGTGTGGAAAGTACTGCCGAGAACCGGCAGTTGTCAGAGCACGGATCAGCACCGATAATCAGTGCCCTAATGATCGGTGCCCAGCAGTGCCACCCACAAGTGCCCCTATCAGTGCCGCCTATCAGTACCCATCATCAGTGCAGCCTAATCAACGCACTTCAGTGAAGGAGAAAAATTGCCTGTTTGCAAAATTTTATAATAGAAACACAGAAACTTTTTTTTTCAGATTTTTTTTGCTCTTTTAATGTTTATAGCGCAAAAAGTAAAAGACCCAGCGGCAAGTAAATACCACCAAAAGAAAGCTCTACTTGTGAGAAAAAAATTATAGAAATTTCATATGGGTATAATGTTGCATGACTGCACAATTGTCATTCAAAATGCGACAGCGCTGAAAGCTGAAAATTGGCCTGGTAAGGAAGGGGGTATAAGTGCCCAGTAGGCAAGTGGTTAATGAAGCTTAATGACGTGTGTGTTCATTTTCTATTTGTTTTACAGGGGTCCAGTAGAACCCCAGCTTAATTGTACCCCTAGTCAGTAGAACACTAACTCATTGGTACCCTTGTTAAGCAGATCCCCAGCTCATTGTTACCCATTTTTAGCAGATCCCCAGCTTTATTAGTACCCTTGTTCAGCAGATCATCTGTTCAGTAGTAACCCCTAGCTCTGATACCCCACTCAGTATTAACCTCTAGCTCTGCTGATGCCCCACTCAGTAGTAACCCCCAACTCTGCTGATCCCCTGCTCATTAGTAGCCCCCAGCTCTGCTGATCCTTTACTCAGTAGTAACCCCCATTTTGCTGATCCTCTGCTTTGTGGTTTCTCCTCTCTCTCTGGTGCCCGCTTACCTCCCGCTGTATTGCTCCCACGCTGCGTAGCACGTGTGACATTGTTAGTTTCTCCTGCTTCGGTCCCCCAGCTCTGCTGATCCTCTGCTACTCAGTCCTCTCTCCGGTCTCCTACTATACATGTTGCACACCATTTGTGCCGTCTGCTCTGGTCCGGCTCCTTCTCACCTTCTGCTCCACACTGCACACCAGTTGGTGATGTCTGCACCACACACTTCCAGAATATATACACAACCGGCAGTGAGTGCTGATGACTTTTCTGAGAGCCAGCTGGCTTCCTACAGTATCAGAAACACTCTAAAATCCAATGGAAAGCCTTCCCAGAAGAATGGAAGCTGTTATAGCCACAAAGTGGGGTGGGGTGGTGGGGGGAGTGTAGTGGCTACATGGCTATGATTTGGAATGGGATGTCTAAAAGGCTCATCTAAGTATTATGGTCAGGTGTCCACAAACCTTTAACTATATAGTGTATGAGCTAGAAATATCTTACTTTGCTAATGAATTTATAACCTGTTATACAATGAAAAGAGAGACAGAATACACAGCCTTTTATATAGTATATGCAGTGGATATAAAAAGTCTACACACCCCTGTTAAAATGTCAGGTTTCTGTGATGTAAAAAAATGAGACACAGATAAATCATTTCAGAACTTTTTCACTTTTTAATGTGACCTATAAACTGTACAACTCAATTGAAAAACAAACTGAAATCTTTTAGGGGGGGGGGAGTAAGTATAAAGAAACTAAAATAATGTGGTTGCATAAGTGTGCACACCCTCTTATTACTGGGGATGTAGCTGTATTCAGAATTAAGCAATCACATTCAAAATCATATTAAATAGGAGTCAGTACACACCTGCCATCATTTAAAGTGCCTCTGATTAACCCCACATAAAGTTCAGCTGTTCTAGTAGGTCTTTCCTGACATTTTCTTAGTCACATCCTACAGCAAAAGCCATGGTCTGCAGAGAGCTTCCAAAGCATCATAGGGATGTCATTGTTAAAAGGTATCAGTCAGCAGTGTACAAAAGACTTTCCAAGGCATTAGATATACCATAGAACACAGTGAAGACATTAATCATCAAGTGGAGAAAATATGGTGCAACAGTGACAATACCAAGAATGGATGCCCCTCCATAATTGATGAGAAGAAAAACTGGTCTGGGAGGCTGCCAAGAGACCTACAGCAACATGAAAGGAACTGCAGGAATCTCTGGCAAGTACTGGCTGTGTGGTACATGTGACAACAGTCTCCCATATTCTTCATATGTCTGGGCTAATGGGTAGAGTGGCAAGACGAAAGCCTTTTCTTACGAAGAAAAACATTCAAGCCCAGCTAAATTTTGCAAAAATACATCTGAAGTCTCCCAAAAGCATATGGGGAAAAATGTGTTATGGTCTGATGAAACCAAGGTTGAACTTTTTGGCCATAATTCCACAAAATATGTTTGGCGCAAAAACAACCCTGCACATCACCAAAAGAACACCATACCCACAGTGAAGCATTTTGGTGGCAACATCATGCTTTGGGGCTGTTTTTTTTTTTTTTTTTTTTAGCTGGAACTGGGGCCTTAGTCAAGGTAGAGGGAATTATGACAGTTCCAAATACCGCTCCATATTGGCACAAAGCCTTAAGGCTTCTGCTAGAAAGCTGAACATGAAGAGGAACTTCATCTTTCAGCATAATGACCCAAAGCAGACATCCAAATCAACAAAGGAATGGATTCACCAGAAGAAGATTAAAGTTTTGGAAGTTTTGACCTGAATCCGATCGAAAATCTGTGGGGTGATCTGAAGAGGGCTGTGCACAGGAGCTGCCCTCGCAATCTAACAGATTTGGAGTGCTTTTGCAAGAAAGAGTGAGCAAATACTGCCAAGTCAAGATGTGCCACGCTGATACTCATACCCAAAAAGACTGAGTGCTGTAATAAAATCAAAAGGTACTTCAACAAAGTATTAGTTTAAGGGTGTGCACACTTCTGCAACCATATTATTTTAGTTTTTTTTTATTTTTACTTCCCTCCACCTAAAAGATTTCAGTTTGTTGTTCAACTGAGTTGTATAGCTTATAGGTTACATTAAAGGTAAAAAAAAGTTCTGAAGTGATTTATCTTTGTCTCATTTTTTTACATCACAGAAACCTGACATTTGAATAGGGTGTGTAGACTTTTTATATCCACTGTATAAATATTGCATTTATTGCCAATATATTTTCCCCAGTAGTACACATATTTTGAAATTAAAAGTCCATCATTGGCTCTGTTAGCTTTAAAGCTGAATGGAAAGGTTCACTTTTTGGTTTTCCAGTGCTTCTTGGGATATCTCATACCTGCAATATCTCCAAAAAAAATGAAGATAAAGCTAGAAAAAAGAAGCCTCTCAAAAGCTCCAGGTGCTGCAAGCAAGCTTTGTCATAGAGTTGTATGGAGGCTTTAGGGACTTTGAAGCACCAATAAAGCAGCATAGGGTATCAATTTTTGAAAAAAAGCAACGTGTAAACAGGATTGTAAGCTTACCATTTGATTTAGTAACATGGGCTTTGATTGGCATTCAGAGCACTTTAATAAAGCGTATCCGAAGCCACGTTTTGAAGCACATGTTAGCAAGTCTTAGTGTGTTGTGAATGCAGAATGACCTAATTGGCTAGAGAACGCGATTATCTTCTAAATGACACAAGGTTAGGAGATAATTACAGTACCTACAGGTAAAACTTATAACCTATAGGATGAAATAAAAAATGGGAATCTACTACCACTTTAGGAAATATCTGTTAAAATTTGCATGCAAGTGTGCAGGGCTGCTGCTGTCTATTGGCATTCCAGTCCTTCTGGTTTTAATGGGTCCAAGACCTGACAGAATCACCATGCAAGTGCCTTGAGGTCCTTTTAATTCTAAGTTGCAGATCTGCCACAGGTTTACTGAAACCCTGGTTTGGATTAACTTTTGTTATATTGTTTTAAATGCCTGTTTTATAAATTGCATTTAGAGGAAATGTACTTAAACGTAACACTAAACTCCATTTTTGTTTGTTTTTAATGGTCTTAATGTTTTCAGTCTTCTTAGACCTCATGCACACAGAACATTTTAAAAATGCTTCTCCTCTTGGCAGCAGCGTTTTGGCAGAAAAAAAGCCTGATGCTTATAAAAGTGTCAAGCGCTTAGGCGTTAATTTATTTTTTGGTCATAATAATAATTTATTCTGGCCATTTGAAATAAATTAACGCTTAAGCGCTAAATGCACCTAGCATTAACACGTGCTTAGGCACTTTGACACGCTTGAAGCATTTTTTTTCTGCCAAAATGCTGCTGCTCCTGGACTGCTGCTGCTGGTAAAAGCTTCTGCCACTTAAAGCTTCTAAAAGTCTGTGTGCATGAACACATGGAGGGGTGATTGGAAGCCGTAAAAAAAAAAAAAAAAAAATAACCCCTGTGTGCATGAGGCCTAAATGTCCTGTGAGCTGTCCTAATTCTCTGATGTACATTACTAATGTAGATAGAACAGCGTCTGGTATTTCTGGTTACATGCTCCTCTCTGTATACTACAATTCCTATAGTACTGCATGTAGTCCATTTTAGGGGCCAAACAGGAAAGGGTGGCTAAATGTACATACACAAGGAGCAGGAGGAACAAATGTTACTGCCCAAGAACAGAGTCTGAGAATAGCAGTAAAAAGCTTGCATTTGAGATTAAACAAAGAGAGATGGTACATTCTATTTAAGATTAAACATAGTGCATTTATTTTATAAAAAAATTCAGATTAAACTTCAAAACTGGTGCAGTTTAGGCAAATAAAAACTTAAAAGTTGCCATCGGCACAATTGACGAGGCAGTGCCTGCTTTACTGTTAGATAGATAGACTTTTTGTAATCAACTAAACCCTACATAAGATTTCCTAAATAAATGTGTTCCTTACAATCAAATATATATACTATTTTTGTGAGTATTTTAAAACTAACATTGTTGCATCTTTACTACAGAATATAGTCGTTTTGAGGCTAAAATTCATGATCTGAGAGAACAGATGATGAACAGTAGTATCAGCTCCGGATCTGGCTCACTTCGTACAAGCCAAAAACGATCCTTATATGTGAGGTAAGCATTTACAATAGTTACTGGTTTGTTTCAGTCACTGAAAAGGAAGTTTGGGTAATATTTCCCACTTTTTTTTCCAGATGTATTAAATTTTCATTAACTTTGTAAAATTAGCATGCATAGATAGCCCCTCTGCTCACTAAGCTGTACAGCTAATCAGGGATCTTTGCAATTTGTGGTTACTTGTATGGTTAAAGCTAAGTTGAAGATAAAGAAATCAATATACAGTAAAACTATGAGCTAACAACCATGATTTTCCTAGATTTGCCTCTGTTCTTTCTCCTTTTCCAGCAACTGTTTATCATGTCCAATAGGACTCTAGAGTTCAGTAGACACCAGAGTAAGACCTCCTGCTACCACTAATGTAACAACCCTGATCAGACACAACTTTTTTTCTACAGTTCAAAGGGGAAGCTTGTGCTAAGGGATGTGGCTGCCAACACAGAGTGCTGCAGTGTGAATTTGAAAGTAGCACTGTTTTCATTAAGAGAGAAAAAAAAAAGTACTTTTAAGAAATTTTCTAGCAAAAATCAGTCACAGATCATAACAAACGGTACAGAACTGTAAAGAAAAGAAAAGTGTGAGACTTCACTTGAGCTTCAGCTTTTTGGCAGGTAAATGGTTTTCTGCTGTTTTTCATTTAAGAGTGTCGCCAGCAATCCTCTTGTAAAATATGGATCATTAAGAGACCAAAATCCATGAATAAAACTGTTGAAAATGACATAATAGAATAGATGGGCTTTGGTAGAATTAGGGGAAAAAGTCAACTTGACCATATAATTGTCCTGAATTCCCGTTACATAATCATAGACATGAATAAGCTAAAGCAGAGTTCCAGTTGAATTGAAAAAAACAAAAATGTCAGCAGCTACCAAAACTGTAGCTGCTGACTTTTGAAATACAGGCACGTACTGTCCTTCAGTCCAGCTGTGTCCTCACCACAGCTGGTTTAACTGGCTGTCTTTCCCCAGCGCCAGCAACTTCAGTGTGGGCACCCAGCTGTGACGGCTTGCGGTTTCAGTCGGGTGCCCACTGCGCATGCGCGAGTAGCGCTGCTCTTTGTGAACAGTCCCGTAGTCTTCTGGGACTTGTCACGTGTTCAGAAGACTATGGGGAGGGAGGGGGGAGGACAACTTCCACTCCCGAAAGCCTTAGGCAATCGCACCGGACGTGGGAGCGGGTACCTGCTAATCCCCTTAAGGGAAACTTTTGGGTGGAGCTTTGCTTTAAAGTGCACCTTTCCATTCCCCAAGCAGATAAACATAGTGGAACCTTCATAATCTATGCTATCAGCTGTTTCACACGTATGCCTCATTTCTCCACAGCATTCCGTCTTACTGATATTCATCTCTGACTCTAGCAACTGCCCCTCACGACTGTCTTATGCATGCAACATGTGTATATATACGTGATTTTGCAGTTCTGGGTAGGGGGCATGCGCCCTACCCATGTTGCCATTCGTGGCTGTCAGTCACTGGGTCCTGGCTGGTGATTACTGAGGATCTCCAGGGAAGAGAACTGTTTGTAAACAAGACAGTTCTCCCTGTCAGCTCGTGCACACTGCTTTGCATGGCTGTGCACAGCCATACAAAGTAGTGTGTTTACAGTGAAGCACAAACACACAGTCCCATGGTAAAACACACCCAGCACAGTGAACCCTTTGATCACCCCTCATTTTAACCCCTTCCTGCCCAGTGCCATTAGTACAGTGTCTGTGGTTTTTGTTTTTTTAGGGGTTTTTTTTTAGAACTGATCACTGTATTGGTGTCACTGGAGATGTCAGTGACACCAAGTCTGCCCCCCCCCCAGTGTTAGAATGCCCGCCGCAGTCCCGCTATAGGCCGCTGATCGCCTCCATTACTAGTAAAAAATCATTTTTAAAATGCCAGTGTGTATGTATATATATATAGATAGATATCTATATAGATAGATCACCATTTGTAAACGCTATAACTTTCACGTAAACCAATTTACACGTATTGGGATTTTTTTTTTTTTTTTTTTTTTTTAGCAAAGACGTAGCAGAATATGTTATGGCCTAAATTTATGACGAAATTTGATTTTTTTAAAAAAATTTTCATGGACATGTTTAATAGCAAAAAGTCAAAAATATAGTTTTTTTTTTCCTCAAAATTGTCACTTTTTTTTTTCTAGAGCAAAAAATTAAAAACGCACAGGCGAACAAACACCACCGAAAGAATGCTCAATTCATGGGGGGAAAAAGGACGTAAATTTCATTTGGGTGCAGTGTTGCATGACCGCGCAATTGTCAGAGTAACTCAGCGCCGTAATGCAGAAAATGGCTTGGTCAGGAAGGGGTGGGGCTAAATCCACAGGAGGGCAAGTGGTTAAAGCTGATCTCCAGTATGCAGCCATTTCTTTATACTTTCTCTGTCTACTGTGACATAACTGTCACGTGACCATCTTTGTCTGCTTTTTATCCTGCTATGTGCTGGTTGTTCGGAAGAATCGTGTGGGCGCCTACACATCACTGCATAACATACACTTCAGCAGTGACTGACATTTTGCAGGCATTTTGCCTATCTAAACTAGAATACACAGCTCTAAATGTCAACAGTACAAGACGGTAAATCAGGTGCTGCATGTTACATGTGCTTGCAGTCCAGATTGCGCTGAACAGGAAAATATACTATTCTGAGCTACTGTATATACCAATGGAGGAAGAGTCTTAAGGAAGTGAGGGGTCCCTTACTCTGAAGATTGTTAATCCCATCCAGCCTTAGTCCAATTAAAAGTGACACAAGCCATTTATGACCTCACTTAACTGTATGGTCATATTTACCAGGTGAGAGCACAGCTGGTGAAGGTGCGCACATGGTTGTTACAACTAAGCAATGGTGGTGAATTTAAACACATATTGTTTTGTCTACATCACTGGGAAGAAAATGTGAAATCACGGATTTAATATGGACACTTAACTTTGGAAAAGTGTTATTGCATTTATACAAAAAAAATGTTCTTTTGGAATATTTTATTGTTTTTGGCAGTTATTTCACTTGTCAGTGGAGCGCGACACTATTTCATTTATCTTTGATTTGTTATGACACATTAGTATGGGTATGTGTGATGTGTAGGCGATCTACTGTTATAATTCACCTGTTATATAATTTCATAGCACTTTATTTGTTAATATTTTGTGGCGCCATAGTAGCTTGCAACATATTATAACAAACTACATCTGTTTTTGGATCCTCCTACTTTGTTTGAGATTCTTTGACAATTCCCTAGTCTCTACACCTTTTCTATGTGAATTCTACCTTGTCTGCTCTAAAAGATATAGAATGAGAGTAAGAAGGTGATTCTCATTGCACCAACCTAGTCCAGAAGAACCTGGTACACATACATGCTCAGATTGGAGCAATACTGGAATCACTGTTTGAAACGCCCTGTTTTGTATTGTTCAGTATCAAAATTCTGCATGGCATGATTTCACATACTGGCAAATTTTAATAAATGTTTGCTCAGCTCTGTCATAGCACAAACTTGAGATTTGGACCTCGGCCGGAAGAACATTTTAGTGACCGGACCTCCTTGAATTTTAATTCAATACCCCTGGTGTATACTATGAAAATATAACCGTTCCAGTGCAGTTTGCAACGTACTCTCTAAGGCAGTGCTTCTCAACCTTTTTGCAGTCGCAACGCAGCACCCTTTAAAAGTATGAAATATATCCATGCATTCCAGTTTAAAATGTAAACTTAACGTAGCAGTTGGAAACCTGAGCCTGGGACAGTGCACACAACCACCTTGGTGGAAATAATTTCACATCAGATTTCCCTCTGTCAGAGTTCAAGTCATACATGAGAGCCCCGATCTCAGAGCCTCCAAATCACTTAGTCCCCCGTCAGCACAGAAACCTTACATTTTGGCTCCAGCGAGGCAGTAGAGGCGGGAGGTCGGTCTAGCGTAAACTAACTTCCATCTTCTACTGAATATGGGGGGGCAGCATGCCACCTGCCTTGAATTAGAACCATGCTGTACCAAGGACACCCTAGAGCTGGCCACACCATAGCAACTCCCAATCCTGAACCAGGGCAAACTGGGTCTTGTGCCACTACACCCTGGTTGAGAAACACTTTTCTAAGAGAACTGATGCCAATTTGCCTGGATCACAGTTTCTTGCCTGAGTTGTAGAGTTCCTTTGAATCCTCCTTAACCATTTCAGTGGTAGCTCCCTCCACTGTTTAATTCACAGAGGAATGTAATGCTGTTGTGTCTGCACGTATAAAAAAATTTTAGCCATGATGAAATTCTTACACCCTCTCCTCCTAGCGTTTCTCTGATCTCCCTATAGCTGCAGCTGCATTGGTATGTTCAGCTAAATATACTGAGGATGGTACCTTACCTGTGGTAGAACACTTTGGTACCTGAGGAATATCAGTCTACGAGCATGCCTCCAAAACTTAAAGGCAATATAACAGCTCCTACTGATGCTCCAGTATGTGTTTAGGTCTGGAACAACCTGGGTAGTAATATGGGTTCACCTAAAAGTGTAATTAAAAAAAAGTTTTTTTTTTTCCTTTTCATTCACTTCCTGTTTTATAAAGTGGTTGACCTAATCCATAGAAGCATTTTTACCCAAAATTACCTAATGAAGGTAAAGTTCTTAAAGTGAACGGGCCCCTCAATGATGAAAATCTAGGACCCAGTTCTGCCCCAAACCCTGGACTCCAAAGTCCGCCAAGACTGCATCACAATGAAGGTGTACCCCTAACTTTTATAGTGGGAGGACACCTTATGGCCTTTGTGACCACCAGAATTCAGGACAAATCCATACGTCTGGGTCAGGAGCATGGTAACCAGGGGCTCCTACCTAGAGTTTCACTTTCTTCCCTCACCCTACTTTCTGTTGTCAAACCTGCAAAAAAAAAACCCATAAACACTGGCAGATCTTCACACTGCTCTGGTGCTTTGGCACAGGGTAGTTGCTATGTTCCCAGAAAGGGAAAAGTTTCAGGGTATTTCATCAAAACTATATACAGTCCAAAGCCCAGCGGTGGCATTCCCCTTTTTCTGAATCCTTCCCCCCCCTCCTATTTTATACTTACTTGGGTGAATGCAGCATTGGTCCCCTGCCAGCTCTAAGGGTGAGAACTCGGCGATCACATGATTGCTGGTCATTGAGTTCTCTCAGCCGCTTTAAGCAGAGAGCGGGACTGTCAGTCACCACTGTCTGCCCAGCCCTGCAGGCTTTCAACACCTTTCTTCAGGTTCAGAAGTTCTGTATGGATTGTTCCAGGTCAGGCATTGACTGCCTCCTGCCTAGGGTTGCCACCTTATCCCTTTAAAACCAAACACATTTTACATAAGTTCTGAGGCTAATTTAATGCAGATAAGGCACTAAGTGAGTTTAATTTCGACCACCTTAATAAGCCACAGAACCTGTGTAATATTGTTCAGTTTTAAAGGGAAGGTGGTAACCCTACTCCTGCCTCTGTCAACCTCAAAGATGCACTATTTTCATTCATTGTCTTACAAGTACTTCCTATGTTTGATGTGTAGTCATATGACATTACCAAATTGTTGCTTTCCTTTGGCCTGTCTAATACACCTTGTGTTTTCATCAAGGTTGTAGCCTCTGCCCTTGCTCATCTTTTTGCTTGGGGCATTCCCATAGTGGGATATGTAGATGACCCTCTCCTACAGAAATAGTTGGCTCAGGCTGTGTCTCTTAATATAAATAGACAAAAGCAGCTCATTGTTTAGAATATCTGAATCTGCTCCTAGACAAATCTCTGTCCAAGATTTTCCTTGAGCAAAACGTGTTCCAAACCTACTCCCAGGTTCAGATATTTCAGTCCAGAAGCAAAACAACTCTCCATTTGTGCACTGGTAGCCTTCTTTGAGGCAGTCTTTCTTCTAATTTATTTCCAGCCCGTTGCAACTCAACATTCTGGCAGAGTAGGATAGAAAGATTTGGCCTCAGTTTATTCACCTGCAACCTAGGATGTAGCTTGGTGGGTCACAAATTTGGCTCTGGATTTGGCTGTTGAAGCCCATGTCCTGAAAGATAGGGGCCTATCCGCTGCAGTTGTTCCTGCGCTGTTGCAAGGTCTACCATCATACTTGAAAGGCACAATTCTCAGTTTGACTCATGGCATTTCCATTCCAGAAGTACTCCATAGGATAAATCCCGGCTTTTAATCCAATCAGTCTGGATCAGTATTTGGCCTTGAGTACCATCAAGGGTATGAGCATTTTTTTTTTTTTTTTTAATGAGCATTTTTTTTTTCTGCTCCTAGAAGCTAATAGTGTTATCCTTTGTGCCCATGCAAACCATTTTATCCTAGAAGCATTTTTCAAGCTTCAAAGTTTAGGAGCAGAGAAACAACTTGTTTTTGTGGAGTTTTTGGGAACATTTTCCCAGCAGAAAAATAAAATACTACAAGCCGGCACAAAAACGCGATTATCAGCCTTTTTCATCCAGCATGCTTTTTTTGCGCTTATAAAAAACACTAGTGTGCGTGGAGCCTAAAATTGTGCATAAATAACACAATTGACAGTGAAAGTGTTAAAGGTAGATACTCTGAACAGTGTGCATGTTAAGGTTTACCTGCGGAGTTAACTAATTCTACAGACGATCACTCGGACTGGAAAATCTCAGTGCAGGGTGAGGCTGAGAGTACCGTAGTTAACAGTACCTTCACAAAGACAGACCAACGCGACATCATACACACATCATACACTGTGAGCAGCAGTGAATTTCCTTCAGTGTGCACAGGAAAGAGGAAGGACTCTGCAGATAACACTTTCTTATCCTGATGAAGAAAGATGCTGCTTTCTATGTTTATAATCCAGAGCACACTACACAGGCTCTGGTATATGAGGAATTTTTTTTAAATTATTTCTGTGTAAAATATCATTTAACTTTGAATGTGTTATAAATGTTAAGTTCACATTGTCACTATTTTCTTATAATTCACACTAAGGATATGATCCATCATGTGATATGTCTAAAGGAATAAATGAGACCCTTTTTATTTTTGTTCCCAATACTGATAACGAGAATGACTCTAGTAGTAATACAAATAACCTAAACTTACTTTCTCATAATCAGCGTTAATATAATGAAGGTTTTAGCCATTTTACTGCCAGAGCCATTTTTGCATTTTTTTATGCATGTGTTTGTTTAATGAATCATTTTAGGCCTAAGGATTACTTAAAACCACCAAAATGTTATATATTTTCTGAAAGCAGAGACCCTAGAAAATAAAATGCTGGTAGTTCCCAATTACATGATATTACCTCAACATTTTATCAAGTGCAAAATTTTCTATAAAAAAAAATATACTAAGGTTAACTTTAGGCTGTAAAAGGGCAATATATCACAATTTTTTGGGGTAAGATGTAAAAGATGAGGTTTCTCTGAGTAAATAGAAAGCAAGCATGTCAAGCCTCAAAACAGTATGTACCTGTGAAACAGAAAAAAGTCTACCCTAAATTGTCTATAGCCAACACTTTAAAAGCCCCTGCAGGTCCTCAGTTTGGAGTTCACCTTGAATAATGACACTAGTATTAGAATAGGGGGCCTGAGAATATCCCAAGGGTGTATGGAAGCACCTTGCAGCAGAAGGGTGCTTCTGATATTCACCTTTACAGTGTGCACAAGGTGTGATCTAAAATTGTAAATTCCCCTCCCCCCCCCAAAGCCTTCAGTTCTGTTTTTATCTTAAGGTCTTATCAGATCGTATGCCTCCAGCTTTAAACAGTGCTAGTGGCACTATAGATGCTTGTGCAGTTTCAAAGCTTCATGTCCTTGACATGTTAGATGAGATGTGGGTTTGCTGTTTGAAATGTTACCACATATATGTATTCAGAGCCACTGGCACTATCAGAGAAGATTCTTTTAGGGCAAAAAAAGATATAGATATTGAATATATTACAGTGTAAGGCATATGCTAATACTAACCTTGTAAAATGTTCATCTGGCAAAAAAAAGAAAAAACTTTAGCAATTCTGCTTAACGAACTTGTTTGAAATGAAACTAGCTTTTTTCCCACATATTTTTAAAGTAATTCCATACATGTATAGCAAAAAATTACCATTGACTTTCTGAATTACAGTATAATGTGTATTTCTTTCTGTATCCAGCACTTATGCAACTCACAGCTTTGCCAGCTATTATTCACTTAGCATATCGTTAATGCACAATAAGCAAATGCTATGAATAAAGCAATTGTATTAAACTTTTATGATAGCTACTCCGATGCAGTTTAACTGGTCTAGTGAAAACATTTTCAAACCAAGTATATTGTTTTCATATAACCTTGAGTGCATTTTGTAGAAAAACACAGAATACTGTAGTTCCTTAGATAAAAAGGTGTAATTAAAGGAATTTGCACAGTTTTGCACAGTAAAAGGTCTGTCATTAGAAATAAGGCATTTTACAGCATACTTTGAATATGTACAGGCAACATGTGATGTTTATAGTGTTATGCCCTCCCATCTGGGACCACCTTACTTAACTGCGATTGCACGTGCGCCCATGCTGACCTCCGCTGTCACATGTGGATAGAGTGGAGAGGTATTAGAACCTCTCTGTTTGTCCTGCTTACCATTATCATTGAAAGTAAAAGAAAACCCCATATTTTGGGGTAAAAGTAATGGAGGGGAAATCTTCCAATGGGGACATTAGTTCTGATGACCTGGAGGATTCCCTTAAGATGCAGGGATTTCCTTTCACTTCCTGTTTGGCTATGGGTCAGGAAGTGAAGGGAAATCTCCACAATGAGACACAGATGGTGAAAAAAAATCTGGCAGAGGTTTTAACCCTCCCTTGCTCTATCCAAAATGAAAAAAAGTTTTGCCTATAGTTCTACTTTTAAGATAAAAGGAATTTTGACTTGCATTAAAATTTCCTGTGAATGAATAAGACTATAAGTACTATCATAATGACTTGCAGTTCTCAATGAACTACGTAGGCACTGGTGAGTGCTCTCATAGTTCCTTGATCTTCCTGCTTTCAAATTACTGCCTGCCCATACAAGAGAGACTATAGCAACCTGATTTTGCACCTGTGACCTGCTGATCAGCAGGCTCCTTAGAAAAAAAAAATTTGCACTTTTTTTTTCTTTTTCTTTTTCTTTTTTTTTTACTTATCCTTTAAATTTATAGGTAAGTCAAAATTCTTTTTTAATTTTGTGGCTAGTGGGCAAAGTTTAGAACATCGCTCAGGTTTTTTGATTCCTTTCTTTCTTCCATCTATGAAGTTTGTACCGTCACTCCTGTCCTGGTGACATTACCGTAAGTGATTTGCACTTCCCATTACTATAAATATGCTTTGCAATTTCTCAATGAAATAGGTTTCCTTTAGTATAGAACCAGAAGCAGCGCTTTGGTTTCACGATTTGTCATTTGTGGTTTCTAAGCAGTGCTGTAGATTGTGTGTCTTGAGTGTTTTTGTTGTCATATATGTTAATCTTACCTTTCCTTTTGTTAATGAGCTTTTTTTCTTTTTTCTTTTTTTTTATTATTATTCCTTAGAGCACTGTTTGATTATGACAAGACTAAAGACAGTGGCCTTCCCAGCCAAGGACTTAATTTCAAGTTTGGTGACATTTTGCATGTGGTCAATGCTTCCGATGATGAATGGTGGCAGGCACGCCAAGTCACTGCAGATGGGGAGAGTGAGGAGATTGGCGTCATTCCTAGCAAGCGCAGGTACAGCACTTCATAGTATGAAGTACTTTTTTTTTTTTTTTTTCGTATGTTCTCCTGTAATTCTTCTTTAGGAGTTTAAGTAATAAATTTGTGAATATAGAAGCTTGAAGTAAAGCTGTTTTGAATCAAGTTCCATACATCAGAAAATATAGATTGTTTTTTTTCCATTATTTTCCTGTATTAAGAGCTGATTCACACATGTGCGGTGCGGATAGAAGCTCAAGTTTCACAGCTAATTGATACAGTAGTTGCTCATTGGTTCTTGTCAGGTTTACATCAGGACAAGATTAGCCCTCAGGATTATCCTGTTCACACGTGCGTTTTATAAACGGTCCCCATAGAAGTCAATAGCCTCTAATCCACGCCTGTACTGGACCACACTGCTCAGAAATCGTACATGACTTTTAATTTTTTCATTAAACCGCACTGAATCCACACCGCCAGTGCACCGGACATATGTGAACAGCCACCATAGGAAGCAATGTTTTTTCACATCATGCGGATTGGATGAGGCTGAGGCAGTAGAGGGAGCTACTGTCAACCACAGCCAGTGAGCCAATCAGGAGAGAGAGAGGGCGGAGCCGAGCTGTGTGTGTGAATGGACATGCAGAGCCGTGGCTTGGGAGTGCACCTGCTCAGGTGCCCCCATGGCGAGCTGCTTGCTCTGGGGGCACCCAACAAGAGGGAGGCGCCAGGAGTGCCGCCGGGGGGACCAGAGAAGAGGAAGATCCACTCCACTGATCCAAAACCACTGCACGGAGCAGGTAAATATAACAGGTTGTTTTTTTGTTTTGTTTTTTAAAAATACTTTATAACTTTAAGGACTAAAAACACAGCAGGACTGTTGCCAAGTCTTGAAATTTCAGTCCACAAAAAGGCATGTGGTGTCAAAGGAGCCAAGCACATTTCTGGCAGATCAACAGTTTTTATTTTCTCTACACTTACTGGGCCTTTAACCACTTGCCAACCACGCTATAGCCGAATAACGGCTACAGCGCGGTTGGCCAGTTCTGGGAGGGCGTCCTATGACATCCTCCCAGAACACGCCCCCCCCCAGCAGAGTGCACCCGGCGATCTCTGTGATCACTGTGCCCTACAGACACAGCTCATCACGTGATGTGGTAAACAGCCAATCACAGTGGCCTTTTGCCACGAGATCAGCTGTGTCCGATGACACAGCAAGATCACCGGGTAAATACAGTTGCTGGTTATTGGCTGCTCTTTCCTCACACTGTCACAGCGTTGTCAGAGAACAGATCGGCACTGATGATCAGTGCCGCCCATCGGTGCCTATCATTGTTGCATATCTGTAAATGCATTCAAAATTCATTTTCTTTAAAGTGGTTGTAAAGGCTGACGTTTTTTTACTTTAAGGCATAGAATGCATGAAGGTGTTCAGCTTCTCCCTCAACCCCTGCCTTATACCACCAACTCTTCTGGATCTCTCCCCCCTCGTTGGCTGAGTTACAGCATCAGGAGCCATTGGCGGAGCCCAGGTTACATGGTGGGGGGCCCATTACTGGGGTTATGAAAGCAATCCAAGGCACTGGACTGCTTTAATTTGACAGCCAGAAGTTGGCTAGTCAGATTTACACACAATCCCGGTGGCTACATCCACTTGGAGTGTGTGTGTAAAAAAAAAACAAAAAAAACCCGCTATCAGGTCTGTACCCTGGATGGTGCCTAAACCCTGACTCAGTCATTCTGGAGAGAAAGGCAGAGGAAGGTATTGTCAGGGGAGTGTACTGTCTTTTTATTACCTTCTAGAAAGGCCTTGGTGACCATCTTTGAAGCAAAGCTATGTTCAAATAATTACATAAAGTTATATTTAGATTCTTGCTGGAGTAGATAATAAGAAATTCAGAACACTATTTTTTTTCTTCCTCTTAGGGTTGAGAAAAAGGAACGGGCCAGATTGAAGACTGTGAAGTTTAATTCAAAAGCACGGGGTGATAAAGGAGTGAGTACTTAAATATTTTATGCACTTTTTTCATTTATAATCACTCATCTGTCTGTCAGGCAAACTACATGTATGTATTCTGTGTGCCTCATTTTAGCATGTATGTTTACCTGTTAAGCATTTTCATAGATTCAAGATTTTTTTCTTCTCATATGTAAAGCTTTTTAGATGGTGATTTTCCTTTAGATTTTACTCAGTAAAATGTGCATGTAAAACAGGCCCAACTACTGCAATTAGAGTAGTTTATAAAGTTGTCTGAGATATTGCTTGCTTCACTTCTGTGTTAGTGTTCAAACAAGTTAGGTGATTGGCATTTTCAGAAATTCCTCAATAGGAATATGTGCATTTCCCTCATAATGATGACATTTTTATACCAAGCTTGTTCCTAAACTTGTATTACAGGTGCCCTACCACTGCACATAGTCTGTTTGCTACATTACATTGGTAGCTGATCACTTCATTTTGGGATTTTTGGGGCCAAATTTTGGTCATTTATAGACCTACGTAACTGCATTATTTTTTTTTTTACACTTTTTTTTATATATCTTTTTATATTTCGTGTAACTTTCTACTTGTTTTGCAGACATTGAGAGACATATATCAAAACTGAAGCAGACAGAATCTGGAGCAGTTGTGTATGGCACCCAATCAACTTCTGTCTGAAGTTTGTTCAGTTAAGCTTTGAAAATGAAAGCTAGAGGTGGATTGGTTACATATCTGCTCCAGATTCTGGCTGCTGCAGATTTTGATAACTTTCTCTCAATATATTTTCTCTTGCTCAGAAATAACGCTTAAATCTTCCATTGGCACCTGTCCTCTTCTTGGTGGTAAAAAAAAGTAATGACCCCAGGGAAAAGGGCATGTTGCATGCACTAATGTTCATGTCATAGGAACATGTAACCTTGAAAAATGGTTAAGTGAGTGTAGTTTGTAACCCATATAAGCCAAGTGCATTCTAATGTGAAACACCTAAACTTAGCTATTCTTCATCTAATATGTAATTTATCACTTCCCCCAGTTAAATGCAATGTTTTTTTTCACTTGTGGTTATTGAACACTTGCTATGATTTGGTTTTGTATGGTAATTTTTCATTTATTAGGTGTAAATTAAAATACAAATTCTTGTACTCATGTAAAACATTCAAAAGTAACCTTAAAATTAATACTCTCAACAACTGGAATTAAAAAACCTTTTTACATTGTACAGAGCATGCTGCGTCTTTAACTGCTTCCAAAGAGGAATTAACAAAATCATACTAAACAAAGCCAAGTTCATGGTAGCATGAGTTTCTAAGGCTTACCTCTTTAATTCGTTAATATAGCGCTCTGATTAAATTTTTTTTCCTGATTTGATAGGGCTGTTAGAACTGCACCTCTCATACACCAAAGCCATAGTATTTGTCTTCACCTCTCCCCTGGCCCAATCACAGAATGCTCTGTATTCTGTGAATGGTTCACACAATACTTATTTATTTCAGGTACTTGTATAGCGCCGCCAATTCATGCAGCGCTTTACATATATATATATTGTACATTCACATCAGTCCCTAACCCTCACAGGGTGTACAATCTAAGGTCTCTAACTTACATTCATACATACACATACCAGGGCCAATTTAGACAGGATCCAATTAACCTAACAGCATGTCTTTGGAGCGTGGGAGGAAACCGGAGTACCCAGAGGAAACCCACCCAGGGAGAACATGCAAACTCCAGGCGGGTGGTACCGTGGTTGGGATTCGAACCAACAACCCTAGTGCTGCCAGGCGGAAGTCCTAACCATTTAGCCACTGTGCTGCCCAGTGATCTTTGAATGGGCAAGGGGAAAGAGGTGCAGACAAACACTGGCTTCAGTGTATGAGAATTTAAGCTCTCATAGCTGCAGTGGATCAGAAGTATAACCACAACTGTACTACCTGGCCTGAATAAAATTGTAAATAATAACAAAATGACAGTGATACTTAAAGTGGCATACAGCTCACAAAAAAAAATACATTACAGATTTAAAAAAAAAAAAATGACTGAAGTTCTGCTTTAAGGTAGTCCATAAAGGGTGTCGCTTAAACTGCGATGATTGATTGTTAGGACAGTACAACAATAGTAAAACTGCATAGCTAGTAAAAACCCAGCTTCGTCTGATGATTGAGAATATGGAGGAATTAAACCACATCTAGCACTCTTTCCTCTAGAACATTCCAGTTTTACTTTACACTATGAACTAGAGCTTTAAAATATATGTATAAGGTACTTAAATCTAGCTTTTGCTATTGAGCTGTATACTGAAAATCTTAAAATACCTCACTAAAGCTTTTGTAACACCTTTGCAGCAAACATATTGGCCATATTTAATTGTTATGGTTTCATAAACAGTAATGTCTCTGTATTCTTATTTTCATTGAAACTTTAAAGCTTTCAGTAAATGATATTCTAATGTGCTTTCTTAAAATGTTACTTGACAGCATGCTATTTGTGACTGCAGACTATTTAACTAAATTAACTGAGTGATGTCCTTGTTCTTTGAATGTATAACAGTTTGTACACACACTGTGTACTAACACTGCTCCCCAAAATGCATGAAATGAGTTGAAACAAATACGCTTGCCATTGATAAAGAACTGCATTTTCTGTGATATTGTTCCCTCTTTTCCTTTGCTTTTGTTGTTTGTCCCTCAGCATTTAATCATATTTACCTAGAAGTGGGTTGATGAAATAAGATGGTGTTATAACGCCTGCTGTTGTAGAGAATGTTGATAGCAGTCCTAAAACGCCATCAATAATTGCTGAAATTTAGTACATTCTATACCTTGCAAATTCAAAGATTTTTTCTGTACGTGGGAGATACAAATATTTACCATTGTTATAAATGACTATTGTGATCACAGGGATGTTAAGTACATCCAGTGTGCATTGAAAGCATCAAGCCACAGCATTGATAAATGCAGTAAAACTATTGATTTTGCAGGCATTTCTATGCTTTTTATTGCTTACATCTAAGGAAATGACAATGGAATCTGCCTCAGATGTAAACTATGATTCTTATCCTAAAGGTACAATAGCAACGCAACCTTTGCATTGCTGGTGGTGTTGTCATTTCTCCTCTTCTGAGGCAATATAATTTCAGTTATGAGGCTTATTTAATAACTTAATGGTAAAAGTGCATCTGTGTGGTGTTTTTGTTTTTTGTTTTGTTTTTTCTTTCAATCAGCCTGATGCTCCTTCAGTCTTTGAATTCTGATATAACTACTAAATATGAAGTGTATGAACCTTTCCCTTTTTCCAACTTTGGGAACTGTGCTAGTAGCCATCTATACTTAGTAAATTGGCAAAACGTTTTTAAGGAAAACTATACATTTTTTTTATCCGTTTTTTTATTTCTTATATAAATTTTTACTCTGAGTTTTTTTTTTTTCAGTGCTTTTGGGTTTTCTAAAGAGGGCTCAGGGTAATATCTGTAGAACAGCCTTTATTTTTCCTTTTGAAGAGCTAAAGAAAATGAGACCTCAAAACGAATGCATGGCAATATGGCAAAAAATGTGTAAACTCTTTGAGTGAATAGCCAAGGTCATCCTAGTTGTCATGTCTAGTGCATTTTTTTTTTTTTTGTGTCTGTTCTGAAACTGCCTTCTCTGTGGAATCTTCATACAGCACTACTAGAAATATGTATTCTTGAGCCTTGCAATTCTAAAACATGGGAGTTGATTTACTGAAACTGGAGAGTGCAAAGTCTGGTGCAGCTCTGCAAAACCCAATCGGCTTCCTGGTTTTTGAATTTAGAAGCGGGTTGGCTACTATGCACAGTTGCACATGCCAGGTTTTTTTTTATATCAACCCCATAGTCATATGCACCAAGTTAGCATATTGAGCCTGTCAAGTGTTATAGTTAATTTCTAATGTCATACTAACTGCATGAGGAGCATCTTTAGGTGCTGGTGTTCATGTATATTGCTCCATAAGAAAGAGCCCTGCAGGAAAACTTGCTAATCTGTTGAGAGTGCAAATTGCTGGATGATCATGTATATATTTGCACAGACACTGATTTAGTTTGTGCACCCAGTGCATATTCATAAGTAGCCCGTATCTATAGGAAGGATGGAGGTAACGGATTGATAAACAATTTGTTTTAAACTTAAAGCAGAACTCCGGGCAGAAATATTACATCATTGTAAAGATGCGTGCATACCCTTAAGGTAATTGTTCTTCTTTCCTTTGATAGCTATCTGGGGGTTAATAAAGCCATCCTTTCTTTAGTATGAAAAAGTGCTCTGTTCTTTTTACTGCCGTTATACTCTCTATCCCCCCGGCCACCAGTTTTACAACCTCCCTACTGTAGTACTGTAGACAACAAGTGGTGACGTAATTACGCACGACTCATTGTAGTGGGTAAACCCAGGTGGTTCAGACTCCCAGTCTTATCCGCCCACTTTATCTGCCCTCAGTTCTGCCTTTCCTTACACCCACACATGTGCCCATCCTGTCTTACTTTTCCCTCAGCGTTATGGGAAATTCTGTCCTCATGCGAAGGTGATATGTGGCTGCATCTATAATCCTCCTCCTGGTGCCTGGAAGCAGAGAAGTCTTCAATTGAACGCTATGACTTTGCAGTGCTGAACTCAGAAATTTCAAAAAGTAATCCTTTTTCTTTTAAAATTTGGCAGTGGTTTATTTGGACCAGCAGAAAGTCTTGAAAATGAAATTTAGCAGGTTCCTGGAGTTCAGCTTTAAGTAAGCCCAATAGAATAATTTAACCTAAACATGGTTCCTCTTTAATAATCTTGTTTTTTACTTTGAACAAATATGAATTGCAATGCAAAACATAGTTTTCAATTATGACAGTTGTGCATACCTTGTGAAGGTACGAGCTGCCCAGAGTCGGTGCAATTCCTTTCCAATTAGTGTACATCCAAAATGATAAGCAGCACACTTAAAGGGTAAATACACCTTTGGCTGAGGTCACTATAATGGTTCATTGCTGCATTTACATTTAGCAATGGCCTTCAGTGTGCCAGCATTCTGAGATCATATTGAATGTGATAGTGCCATAAAAATTTGTTTTGTAAAAGCAGATTTTTTTTTTACTCTGCATATGTTTTCAATCCAAATCCACTTGAAATCAAACTATAAATTTGGTTGCTTTGAGCTACAGAACATTTTGCTGTTAATGCATTAAATAAGCCTCTGTCGTCTTATAAGAATTTCTGATTTACACACATTTATTGAGCTAATACATTAGAAATAGATTATGCGTTGAATAAATATTAACCTTGGTGTCCAGAATAGCAGCCAGGTAGCATTTAAAGTACATACACATTTGCTTTTGCTTGTTGCCCTCCTCTTTCCTTATTTTCCTATTTTGTTTAAACCATTTACTTTACTTCTGTTCTTGATATGCCATCTATGGTGGAAATTAATATTACTAACCCATTTTGGAAATGGCCAATTTATATTCATTTTGGCTTCTTGTGTTCTGTTTTTTTTTTTTTTTTTGTTGATGGTTGGGCCATATGTCATGACATGTAGCTTAAATTGGAGTCTTTCCAGTGAAACGATCTGTAATGCTTGTTGGTTGCTTTGTCACTCTAAGGCTGACTTACAGTAAAGTATATGCTGCAACTTATAACCCAAACAAACAGTATGCGAACATTAATGTACTGCAATTGTGTGCTTTTATATTTATAACAATAAATCTGGACAAATGTAGAAGGCTATACTAAAGAAAATGGAATTATTGGGAAAATTATAAAGCTATAAAGCATATTTCCTAAATACAACAGATGCAGGTACTCATTAGAGGTATGTGCTAATACAAACTTGCCAATAGACTGGCTTTGACACTATAAATAGCTTAGCAAGTATTGTGCAGGAGGAACATACAGTGTGTGTGTGTGTGTGTGTGTGTGTGTGTATATGTATGTATATATGATGTGTGTATGTATGTGTGTGTATATATGTATATGTATGTATGTGTATATATATATATGTATGTATCTGTGTGTGTGTGTGTGTGTGTGTGTGTGTGTGTGTGTGTGTGTGTGTGTGTATATATATATATCACAAGAAGCTTCCACTCTAAACCCTTAATAATTAAGGTAAATGGAACAAAAATAGCTATATTTAGGCTTAAGTCCAGGCAAACTGCTAAAAACACAGTTGCAATACAAATAAACTGTCTTGCCTATGTACACCCTATGAGCAGGGTGCTACTGCATGCAAAAAATACTGTATACAGTAGCTAGTCCATAATGGTAGTATTTTATATCTGGATGGAGTTCACCTTAAAGTGAAAGATCTATCATTTCAAATGTTTACACTGTTCTGCGCCTCATGGGGCAAAGTACATGAAACACTTTGTCCTATGTTGCTAGGTGCTTCATAAGTCTAGTTATAAGGTTTGACCTGCCCCCCTATACTTCCCCAAAGGCATATCTCACAACACCTACGAAGGAGACGGACCCATAAGGACTGCTTGTCTCGGTTTTGAGGAATGCTGAGACTGTAGGCTAGAATGTCCCCCCTCCCTCTGCATTATTCTGATCTCAAGAAAGTGCTCTGAGCTGAGACAAGCTGCTCATACAAATCTGTCTCCTTCGCAGCGGTTGTAGGATTTTCTTTAATGGGAGTTGCGGGGGGGAGGGGTGCATGTTGGACCTTATAACTATACTTGGAAAGTGCCTAGCATGGGACAAGGTACTAAGGGGTTAAATTACTAAAAATGGGAGAGTGCAAAATCTGATACAGTTTTGCATAGTAGCCAGTCAGCTTATAACTTCAGCTTGTTCAGTTAAGGTTTAACAAAAAAAAATCTGGATGCTGATTGGGTTCTATGCAGAGTTGCACCAGATTTTGCTCTCTCCAGTTTTTGTAATTCAACCCTCAAGTGTATTTTGCCTTGTGGGGGCTTGAACCGTTTACAAAATTATAGATCTAGTTCCTTAAGAGATTACTGTTGAAACTATACCAATAATTGATAAAGCAATTTAATTTACTCCATGTCTAAATCTAATAAAGACATAACGATTCTCATGAAACTGTAGTTATAATATTACATTTTTTTTTTTTTTTTTTTTTAAGAGATTGGCTTTTGAAAAGAAATCTCCCTAAGAACAGCTTAATTCAGACACTCGTTTTTGCTTGCAAGAAAGGATAGAGACCCACAGTTTAGTCAGTAACAGAACCTTTGGCATGTGGTTGCTGAAGGCTATCTGTTTACTGGTGATGAGACTAGCACAGTTCACCTATCTTGATGCATAAAGCCTATATTGTAGTAACTAGCATATGTCTGTAAACCAGGGCTCTGCAATTCCATGCCTCCGTCAGCCCACACTGCTCTGTTGTCCCATACCCCACGTCCTCAGCCGGCACCTCTCCCCCACCTCACAGAGTGGAACCCAGCATTCTGGGACCCCCAGAGTCTATCCCATCCCTCCCCATGCACAGAGTCCAGGCGGAACACAGAGCTACACAGCTCCACGGAAGCCAGCCCCCTGGAGAACGAAGCTGTATTTTAGCTGTTCTTGAATGTGCATTCATAGCTCTATATAAACTGTCACTTTCACTAGCCATTCAAAAGTCTTTGGGGGGAGATTTACTGAAACTGGAGCACACAGAAAATCATGCAGTCTTCTGCATAGTAACGAATCAGCTCTAACTTCAGCTTGTCCAATTAAGATTTGAAAATAAAACCTAGAAACTGGTTGGTTACCATACACCCCTGCACCAGTTTTTAGTATCCACATTAAAGTTACTTGCATTTAATATATAGTAATCATGGAGGTTTGATCATGTTACTAATACCATTTATAACTGTAGCGCTTAGGTACCCAATATTTGTTGTCAAGCATGCCCATGTAACTGGGTAATATATTTTTTACTTTTTTTTTTTTTTTTTTTCTCTCCTTCGATAACTGGTGTACAATCAAATTGCAATAACAAATCCACTCTTACTCAGCATTACAGATTGTTTTTTTAGCATTTGTTGCTGGAATGCCTTAAATTTTTAGCTGCATGTTTGGAGACTCTGGTCAACTTCCACATTTCTGCTAGGGCGGGGCATTTGTACACACGAACATTAGACATCCTTTGTTTTGCCCCTTCCTTTTCTTCTTCAGCAGTCATTCAATGACAAGCGTAAAAAGAACCTCTTTTCCCGAAAATTCCCATTCTACAAGAACAAGGACCAGAGTGAGATGGAAACCAGTGATGTTGACCGTAAGTATGTGGAATATAATGGCAAGCTCTAGAGAGGTCTGCTAGTTTGCAGTAGGGTGTTACAAATAAGGCATTTTCAAGAACCGTAACTGGTTTTTAATTTTATTGAACGGTGCATTTTTACATTTGTAACAGAACTTGCGGAGGGTATGGAGCTAAACTAGTGGCTTTATGGCCCTTGAAGAAAGTGCTAGCTCTTTTAATCAGGCCTGTATTAAGTCATACACTATACTGACTTTTTATAGTTCACATTTGACATTCTGTCGCTATGATTTGGCTTAATTCCTTGTTTAGTAATGCCTCAGAATATTGTTGTATACCTCTGAGTTAGTTTTCAACCTCTTTCTGTGCTTGGAAATGCCTTTTCCCGTAGCGCCGTTTCTGAATATTTTACTGACAAGTGTTTTCTGTGATTATTTCTTTGTTTTTGCTTGCTCTCTGGGACTACAGGAGATCCCTGACGACATGGGATCAAAAGGCCTGAGTAAGTGACAGAAAAAAAAAACACCACCTGAATTACCAATTTATTTTGATATTTCTCTCTGCAGATGGGATTTCCTGCTTCTGTTATGTACAAAAAAAAAAAAAAATATTCAAAGCAATTTTCAGTTTTGAACAGAGAATAAATATGTAATGTATGAATAAAAACCGCAGCTATGTTAAAAATCTAAATATCCCTCCATGCCTTCACAAACAACTTAAACCACTCTGTAGTTTGTGAAGTGTCTAGCCTGCGTCTGATACTGGTCAACAAGGTCAGTCAGGGACTGCAGTTATTTGCTGGTTTGTCGCCCCATCTATAAATCAGCTAAACACAGTGCATTTCTGCATAGTAAATCTGCTGTGTCATTTTACTGTGTAAGTGTGTATGACTTATGTGCTGTTGAGGTATGCCTGTTATGGTAGAAATATGGGAGCTGTGATATGCTGTTTTATGGTAGAATTTGCAACCTCCAGAACTGTTTCATACACACTCTTTGCTGTCAGTGACTGACAAGGTAGTAAAGTAGGGTTGAGGATCTCAGCAGTTTACACATTTAAAAACAAGATAACAGCGGTGGTTCCCTTTTTTCTATTCAGACAAATTAGGCAATCAGAACTTTAGTTATTAGTGGACTATCAGGGCATTGCATGGGAAGTCTAATCTCCCAAACTGCATTTTTTTTTTTTTGCCTTTATGTAGCTCCCCTCTGTGAAAACATTTGATTTCCCCAATGTCAGTGGGGAAATTTACTGCAAGATGTAGAAGCAGCTTTGAAAGACGTAATAACATTTTGGGTTTTGTGTGGAGTGCCTGCAAGAATTAACCATTGTTTGTATGCCTAAGCTAGCGGTGCACAGCTAATATTTATGCCAAGGGCATCACAAGTTCCATGCCTAACCATGCTCTTATATTTATCCCAAGAATAATTGCTGCAAGAAAATTGCCCAAGTGTCATCAGCCTTATTCAAAATCCCTGTTACAAACTAAAATGGTTCCCCTTGCAGACAGTTATTCAACTGTTTGACAATATAAACTATGGGAGTAAGCATGTGTCTCTATATTGATGCTGCTCTGGGAGTTTGAATAGTAAATCCTTAAAATGATCTGCAATAAAAGAGCCACAAGGTCGCATTCAGGCTCATGCAATTGGAGATTAAAAAACTACTGTTTATACATTTTTTTTTTTTTACCAGCCTGTAAAAGCACCTCTATGCAAGTCTGTGTCCCATGCACACATAGGTGTTTACAGACATAGTTAGGTCCATATATATTTGGACACAAGCACAATTTTAGCTTATTTTTTAGGTATTGGCCAAAACATATTAAAACTACAAATTGGAGGATGGGTTTAGGAATTACAGGAGTAGCCCACACCTGGCTCTTTCATGGCCAGGTGTGGACTATTTCTTTATTTCTTCATCAGTTAAGCAGGTAAAAGGTCTGCCATTGATTCTAAGTGTGGTATTTGCATTTGGAATCTATTGCTGTGATCCTACATCATGCGTTCAAAGGAGCTGTCCATGCAAGTGAAACAGGCCATTGCAAGGCTTCAAAAATTAAACAAATCCATCAAATAGATAGCAGCAACATTAGGAGTGGCCAGGTCAACAGTTTGGTACATTCTGAGGAAAGAAGAACGCACTGGTGAGCTCGTCTACATAAAAAGGCATGAACATCCATGGAAGACAACAGTGGTGGATGATCGCAGGATCCTCTATGGTAAAGAAAAACCCATTCACAACATCCAGACAAGTGAAGGACAGTTTCCAGGAGGTGTGCGTATCATTGTCAAAGTCTACAATCAAGAGTAGACTTCAGGAGAGCAAATACAGAGTGTTCACCACAAGCTGCAAACCATTCATAAGCCTGAAGAATAGAAAAGCCAGATTAGACTTTGCCAAAAAACTCTAATAAGCCAGACCAGTTCTGGAAAAGCATTCTTTGGACGGATGAAACTAAGATTAATCTATACCAGAATGACGGGAAGAAAAAGTGTGGCAAAGGCTTGGAACAGCTCATGATCCAAAGCACACAACGTCACCTGTAAAACATGGTGGAGGCAGTGTGATGGCATGGGCATGCATGGCTTCCAGTGGCACTGGGTCATTGGTGTTTATTTTGATGATGTGAGTGAAGCAGCCGGATGAATTCTGCAGTGTTAAGATATATACTGTCAGCCCAGATTCAGCCAAATGCAGCAAAGTTGATTGGACAGCGCTTCACAGTACAGATGGAAAGTGATCCAAAACCCACTGCAAAAGCAACTCAGTAGCTTTTGAAGGAAAAAAGTGGAATATTCTGCAATGGCCAAGTCAATCACCTGATCTCAACCCAATCGAGCATGCATTTCACTTGCTGAAGGCAGAAAGACCCACAAAGAACAACTGAAGACAGCTGTAGTTAGAGCCTGGCAAAGCAAAGAAAGGAGGAAACCCAGTCTTTGGTAATATTAGTCCATGGGTTCCAGACTTCAGGCAGTCATTGCCAGTAAAGGGTTTGCATCAAAATATTCAAAATTTACATTTTATTTATGATTATATTCAATTGTCCAATTACTTTTGGTCCCTTGAAAAAAGGGGAGATATCTACTCTTAAGAGCTGTAATTCCTAAACCCTTCCTCCAATTTGGATGTACATACCCTCAAATTAAACCTGAGTGTGCACTTTCAGTCCATATCCATTATATAACTATGGCTTGAATATGTAAATACCTGAGAAAAACTAAAATTGTGCCTGTGTCCAAATATATATGGACCTAACTGTATTAGAAGAGTGTTTACAGGCTGAAAAAAAAAAAAAACACAACAACAAAGGCGCATTCTTAAAAGGAATGTTTCAGCAGGGGAAAAAAATGCATCTAAACAAGCTTGAACAGTATGCTTGTAAACCATTTAAATATAAATGCATTCCAATGGCCATAATAGCCAGTAGAATGCATGTGCACCCAAACGCTATAAGCACATAAACGCATGTTCATTATGCGGCTTTTAGTATTTTTTTTTTTTTTTTTTCCTGTCAGCAGTTCTGGCGTTCAAAGGGGTTTTTATAGATGCCTCATGTGCATGAGGTCTCAAACTCTGTGCCTGACCATCTGGCAGGAGCTAAAAGGAAGAAGAGTCGTGTTTTATCTCCTCTGTCTAGCACAAGTTATAATTCAGAAAATGATCACAACTGCACTGTGATGGTGACTTGGTGACTATAATTACATCTTATATGACACCTGATAGTTTTCAGGTATCTGTAGTACATCTGCAGCTTTGAACTGGTTACTCCAGTGATGTGCTCTTGGCCTCCCATTTACCATATCACAGGTAGTAGTCCTACTTTTAATGGATGAAAGATGTTATTTCCCAGTGAAACTATGCAACATTAACTAGCCTCCCTATGGGTTGTGAACTGTATTTACAAGGAAAAAATGATAACCATTACTGGTGCCCTGAATTGTTATGGATTCACTGTACTTAAAGGCATATGCATATATTGTGCTATGCAATCATTTATTTTATTGCATCATATGACCTTTGTATTAACTCCTGAGTCCATAATTTATCAGCTACTGTGTTAATCTCATCCATTTTCTTCATTTAAAAAAATGTAACTTTATTTTGTGTGTTGCATTAATATTTTACCTTTCCTTTGGTCTCCACCTAATGTTTGTGTCCTTCATTTTTCCTCATTATGTTGCATTTCAGAACATGTAACCTCTAATGCCAGCGATAGCGAAAGTAGTTACCGTAAGTGTCTTATGCTTCTTGCTTTCTTGCCAAGGCCTGATTCTGTCTCATCACACTGTTCTATTCCATCATTTTCCCAGTCCTGTCAGATCATAACAAACACTGGGATTAACATAACAAAGTTTGTATTCCAGTAGTTATATTGACTTGAATGCTTGATATTTCTCTGTAGTAAAACAATTATAAATATGAAAAGATAAAGCTACTATTCCTAATACTGCTGCTTGTAATTGTAGAATGAAAAACAAAATAACTTTAGATAATGGAATCATCTTTGTTAATTTCTTTTTTTTTTTTTTATTGCTAACTTGAAAGTAATCTTGATTACGGATGAGTATGGATGTTCACAAGGTCTATTCTACTAATATTTTTCTTTTTGTTATACTTTGAAACCTCGAAGTGCTGTTTTTGTTAAATCTGCACAAACAGAAATTTTGTATGCTATGCTTTGGAAGTTTAATTTCAGCAGGTTATTTTAGGAAGCGTTTTTCTAATTTGGCTTACATTTGACAGCTTATGTTGAGGTTTGGAAAGTATAAATCTGCCTGAATGTTTATTTGCATGAGTAATTTGGCTTGCATCATATCAAACTGCATGCTTTTTGTATCATCTATTTGCTGTGTTTTATTTTTTTTGGGGGGGGGGGGGGTAAGTAGCTTCATGACAGTCTTGAAGAATCTGAGCAATGACTTGGAACAACCTCATAGAGAAGTACTATGAGAAAATGTGTGAACCATCAAATCTTGGACTCTGCCTGAGATGGCAAAATGATCTAGCCACTTTTTTTTTTTTTTTTTTTTTTTTTTTTAAATCAAGTATCCTTGCATCAACAGCTTAATGATTTGAGCAGTCATGTTAATGCAGTGGAGTAGAAGGTATAGGTTTGCATAGTCTAGGGGAGAATTGTAGTGGTAGTCAACTGAACAGGGTGGAATGTTTTCTATTCTCCAGTGTTCTTTTGAATAGGGCTATCCAATGGGTCCCATAGACTTAATGATTATGGCCAAGTGGAAACTGCAATGAGCCAGCTCTGGCTGCAATCATCAGTGTGTTATACATGGAGCTATGTATGTTGTTCCATTTTATCTTGACAGTTTTTATACAAATTATGGTTTTGCCTTTCTCTGCTTATTTTCTGCAGCCTTATACTCCTTTTTTTAATTTTAAAGGTAACTTTATTGTAAATAAAAGCAATAAACTACAAACCAGAGCATCACTGCTCACATAGAGATGTATTACAGTACTGAACAGAATGTCCATTATGTACAATGTCTACATACAGTAAAGGAGCATGTATATAGCAAATATGTGTATCAGAAAAAAAATATATGCAAGATCTAAGGGCCGAAAAATCAAAATCAGAAAGACACTCAACAGCGGAAATATCCTCAGGCTACAAACCAAAGTGTACAATGATAGCATCTAATGTAAAACAGGTATTACATAGATTTAAGGGCCATCATAACTAGTGGATGATATAGTATGTGTAGATTCTACCCATGGGGTCCATATTTTATGAAATTTGTTTAGACATCCCCTTGCCTCAGAAGTAGGTTTATATAATGAAATTGCCTGGTTAATTAAGCCAAAAAGGGATAGTAGGGGTAGTCTGTGACTTCTAGTGCATAGCTGTAGACATCTTGGCATAAAGCAGAACCAGTCATAAGAGTTTGGTACAATTAAGGAGGATATCATCATCTATACGCCCAAACAAGCAGCATAAAGGATTACAAATATCTGGCAATTGTGTGAGTGCACTAATAAAAGCGGTAACTGCCGACCAGAAGGCAGAACTCCTCTCACGTACCTGGTGTCGACTGATCTGGAGGGGGGGCTTCTCTTGCACCCCTTGTCCAACACCCTTGGTAGTGATGATAGTTGGTGTGAGGAGAGAGTGGAACGTTGGCCTATGTAACAGGCAGTGCCAGCTGGTGAGTGCATGAAGCAGATGACCGTAGATCACCAGGCAGGAATTGGAACACAGTGACACTTGTTTGGCAGGCAGGAGTGTAGCTAAGAAATCCCTCAGTGAGAATTCTTCAAGAGCGTGCTAGGCCTCATAGTAGCCTCCATTGAGTCTGTTAAATTCACTCAATTCCATTCGAGGCCACTCCAGTACAGAATCTTGTTGACCTGGAACACAAACATGTTCCTTCCCTTGACTTATGTTATTCATGCTGCTGCCATGCAACTTTTTGACCCAACTTTCAGTGTGATTATGTAGTGCTACTTGGATGCAACTATGATAAGGTTTGTACATTCAAATGGGCTAAAATCCTACTGGAATTGCACCAAAGTAGTACAAGGACCTTTTCCATAATTGCTCCATGCTGCATTGCATTGATATGAACTGACACTATTGAAAACAATTTGCTTTCCATTGTCATACAATATTGTGCGACTCAAGTCGCATCTGAAATTGCACTTGAGTGAACCAGGCCTTACCCATGCACCTGTCCAGCCAAGCAAGGAATTATCCAGCTTGGTAGATCTTGAGCCCAGCCTAATTAACAGGGAAGTCCTTGGTTTCCTATCACTCAGATGCCAGTCTTTCAGGCTGGGCGGGAGTGTTCCAGTCCCTCACAGTCCAGGGAACATCCCAGGGAGTCCTGGTCATCAGTGGAAGCCAAGCTCCACATCAACATGTTGGAGCTCAGAGCAATCAATTTAGCTCTGCTGCAGTGGGCGTCTCTTCAACAAAGACAGTCCATCAGGATGCAATCAGACAATGCCACGGTTGTGGCCTATATCAACCACCAGGAAGACACCAAGAGTCATACAGATTTGAAGAGGTGAGCCAGATAATTGCATGGATAGAAACGCGCACTGTTAAGCGATCTCTGCAGTCCACATCCCAGGAGTGGACAACTAAAATCAGATTGCTTCATCACAGCCAGGATCATGGAAAAGGTGTCCTTCACCCCATCTTCAGACTGATATGTCAGAGATGGGGGAGCCTGGATGTGAATATCCTGGCCTCCAGATTCAACAGCAAAATACCTCTGTGGCCAGATCCAAAGATCCTTTAGCTCTGGCATTGAATGCCTTGATGATCCCATGTCTCAATTCAGGCTAATCTATGCCTTCATTCAAGGGCAGATATACCTTGTTTGCACCACAAAATAGAGCAACAGAAAAGGCTGGTGATTCTCATTGCTCCAAACTGGCCCAGAAGGATCTGGTACACAGACCTACTTGGACTACTTGTCTTAGGGGTCTCTGCACAATCCGGCTTCAACAGCCATGTCATTAAAGCAACTGACTGAGAAGCGGAAGTCTTCAGAGACAAACAGATCTGGGTCTGTCATCCCTACCTTGCTAAAAGCATGAAAAACCTCTTCCTGGAAGATCCATCATAAATTGAAGTCCTCCTTTACCCGGTGTAAACACAGGTGTTTCAATCCCAAAGAATTCTCTGTGCTTCATATCGTGGACTTCCAACAATCGGTATTTGACCAGAACTTAGCACCCTAAACCAGCCCTAAGCACCCTTAAAGAACACATTTCAGTCTTGTCTGTTCACTTTCAAAAACCACTGGTTTTGCTCTCCCTGGTCAAAACCTTTATACAAAATGTTTCTTGAATCAGTCCCCCTTTGCAAAATCCTGTGCTTTCTTGGGACCTCAGTTTGGTTCTCTCTGCTCTGTAGAAACCACTCTTTTTAAACCAATCAGGGAGATCCCCTTAGATGACCTTTCTCACAAGGTGGCCTTTCTGGTCACCATCAAGTCAGTCAAACATGTTATAGAATTGTCATCTCTCTTACAAGGAGCTATTCCTCGTCCTTCATAAGGGCAAAAGAAGTCCTATGGCCAAGGTCATCCTTCCTTCTTGAGGTGGTGTCGGACTTTCACCTCAGTGAAGATATTATTCTTCATTTTTTGTTCCCTGCTCCAATGCTCCGAAGAGGGATTGTTTATTCATTGCCTAGATGTACAGTACTCAGAACAATTGGAGCCTACCTCAAAGTAAGTTTCTATCTGGATAAAGGACTCTTCTCCTGCCCTCAGTACCTCACAGGGAAACTCTGCTTCCAAATCAGATCTTGCTCGCTGGATCGGACAACTGATTTCTAAAGCTTACACTCTAAATGAGAAGCTCCTCCTGCACCTTTATGCTCCCACCTCACCAGATGAGTGGGTGTTTCCTGGACATTCCAGGACCAGGTCTGTTTTCATCTTTGTACCATCTGGTCTTCTGTTCATAACTTTTTGCTTCTGTTCATAACTTTTTGAAGTATTACAATATGAATGTTCAATTTTTTGCAGATGGAGCTATTGTCTGCATGGTTCTTGCAGTGACATGCAAAGCTGGGTCTGTGGACCCTTTGTTGTTGGGCCTGTTGGCAGCTTCTCTTTACCTAGTTGTTGCCCTCCATTCCCCAGCCATTGCTTGGGGATGTTCCAGGGCCTGTGAATACTCAGCCTGAGTACTGTACTGGGCATGGGCCATTATCCCTTTTTTTCCTTGGTTACTCTGCTTTGCTTGCTACAAAACTGAGGACTCACAAAGTGGGGTAGGGTTCTAGGGGTGGTGCTCAGGGGACATGTGCTTGAAAGCTTTGCCAGTGTGAAGGCAATCCAATACTAATATTTTTTGAAGCAGGGGCCCTAGAGAATAAAATGGTGAGTGTTGCAGTTTTTTGTCACATGGTATTTGCACAGCAGTTTTTCAAATGTAATTTTTTGAGAAAAAATACACTGTAATGAATTTTAGTGCACAGTATACCCAATTTGCAAAATATAAAAGATGATACGCCGAGTAAATAATGTGTCATGCTTTCAAATTGCATACGCCTCTGGAATGGCACCAAACTACATTACCTAAAAATCTCCATAGATGACTGTTTAAAAGCCTTTATAGGTTATTTTAGATTTAACAGGAGGTTTGGTGCTAGAATTATTGCTCTTACTCAGATGTTCACGGCTATACCTCACGTGTGTGGTGCAAACACCATTTCACCTTTGCTCACGAGTACGGTGGGGAGGGGGGGGGTGCGA